TTTTTTTTTTAATAAAGATGACCGGTGAGGGGATCTTAACCCTTGACTTGGTGTTGTCAGCACCACGCTCTCCCAGTGAGCCAACCGGCCATCCCTATATGGGATCCGAACCCGTGGCCTTGGTGTTATCAGCACCACACTCTCCCGAGTGAGCCACGGGCAAGCCCCTAATTTTGGTTTTTCTGTAAAGACTGATTTATCTCAAATTCTGTACACTGGAAATTTCCCCATTGAGGTGGCAGTTGTTCTGGGTGGTTCTGGGGGCTTTGCACACTGCAGAAGGGCCTCCTGGGTTGGCAGAGACCCTTGGAGTTCAATCCATTTTGGTGCTATTTCTATTTTAATTATTTTCCTTAAAGCCTCGGTGCTTGTTGTTATGTATATTTGGTGACACATCCCGTCACCGGGAGGTTTAAGATCGCTTCTCAAGCCTCCTGGTTAAGAAATTCAAAATTTTTCAGAGAATTTTCCTAATTATTGAGTTCAGATTTGTTCAAGAAAGTCAGCAAACATTTCCCAAGGGCCTGCTGCGTGGTTCCATGCCTCCTTTATACCTTCTGGGAAACTGAGGCCCAAGAAGGTCAAAGGGCATGGCTGAGGCCACAGGGTCAAGGAGTGGCTCGGGGGGGGGGGGGGAGGAAGTGGGTGGCAGGGAGAGAGGTCCAGCATGGTCTTTCCCGCCCCCACGGGCTGATTTCTGTTCCTTCCAGAACCTGGTCATGTTTATGAGTGACTTCGTGGACTGGGTCATCCCAGACATCCCCAAGGACATCAGCCAGCAGATCCACAAGGAGAAGGTGCTCATGGTGGAGCTGTTCATGCGGGAGGAGCAGGGCAAGCAGCAGCTACTGGACACGTGGATGGAGAAGGGGCACAAGAAGGAGGAGCCGTGCAGCAACCACAAGCCCAGAGCCAGCCCGGACAGCCCCGGTGGCAGCCCGGCTCCCAGCCCCGGGTACCACGGGGTTGTTCTGTAGCTGCCACGGCAGGGCTGAGCAAGCAGCTTCTCGTCCCGACCAGCGCCTGGTGGCCACCCACCAGCGCCTGGTGGCCGCTGTGTTTTCTGCAAACATGGAGGACCATTTTCTGATGGGACATTTTTCTCTCTTCTTTCTGTTTTGTTTTGTTCTGCCTTGTTTTTGCACAAAACCATTATGCAGGGAATTTTTTTAATCCTTAGTGTTCAAGGTGAATCAAAATGATGGCTGGTGACAGGCAATAATGTGTGGCAAAGGCAGGTGCTTTGCAGAAACGACTCTTGGAAATCTTGAGTCTCCTTCGCAGTGGAAAGTGAGCGGGGACCCCTAGAAATCTTCCTTTTTAATCTCCTGATGCCTTAATGTAGATGCAAAATGGTATTCCACGGCATCGAGCCAAAGCTGGTGCGACAGGTCAGGGAGAGCGGAGGAACCGAGAAGGAACACACGATGTGACTCTGGTTCCAAAAGGCGTCACCTGCCTCTCTGTCGGAAAAGCAGGACGACTCTAACCATCTTTTCCTTCTGGAAGTTCAGAAGCTGAGACACTGTGGTCAGAAAGAGAGGTGCCAGCCCTGCCCACACGGAGGGCATGGGAATTTCCAGTCTGTTCTTGGACGAGAGGGTGCAGGTGTCCCCAGCAGTCCACACCTTCAGCCACACACCTGCCCCGTCCCACGGAGCTGATCTCAGGTTTGTTCATCTTCCTTGTGAGACAAAACCGAGTTGACGGGAGAACGGGCAGGAAGATGACCTTGAAAGCTTTTCTAGCGATGGCTTAAGACACACCTGCCCCGTCCCACGGAGCTGATCTCAGGTTTGTTCATCTTCCTTGTGAGACAAAAACGAGTTGACGGGAGAACGGGCAGGAAGATGACCTTGAAAGCTTTTCTAGCGATGGCTTAAGGGTTTCAAGAAGTCTTAAGGCTTCCGGGGGTTCATTCAAAGCTTTTGAATATTTATTGTTTGTGTTTCTTTTTAAATCAATGATGTGGTGGCTTTGAGGATCTTTTTTTTTTTCTGTAGCTCAAAGGTGGAAGGAGTTTATTTTATTAGTTAACCAATATCATTGAGAGGAATTTAAAATACTGTTACTACCAAAGATTTTTATTAATAAAGGCTTCTATTTTGGTAACACTTCTCTATATTTTTACTCACAGGAATGTCACTGTTGGACAATTATTTTAAAAGCTTGTAAAAAGTTTCCTAAGTGATACGAGTGATCTAAATTTGTAGCAATTATCATAACCAATTATGTGAAATTTCCCAAGCACCAAGAGAAACATAAAAAGAAACATTTCACCCAAGGCAGGGAGAAAAAACATAAATGTGTTGGTCATGACCATGCCACTGGTGTGATGTTGACATTCCTGCAATCCGCTGACTGTGACTGAAGTCCACAGGTGTCATAAATTTTCATTATTTGCTGAAATGATGCGATCTGATGCTTCTATTTTCTCTTGTACAGTAAGTAGTTTGAAATGGGGTTTTGTATATAAGTATTGTATTAAAAATTAGGTGATTACCAAAAATCCTTTTATGGAAACAATTTTTTAAAAAGTGAATGTATACAAATCCACAGAGGACTGTGGCTGAACATTCATCTAAATAAACTTGAATACACACTTCCCTTACTTGAATGCTCTCCGCGTGCCCTTTGCCAGAGGAAACTCAAAAGGCTGTCCCCAACGTCCCATGGGTTTTGCAGCACATTCAGGAATGACTGAGAGGCATCTGTTTCCTTTGGTGCCAGAGACATGAGTTGTTTGAAATGTTCCTGGAACATCATCTCCTTGTGGGTGTGTGCGAGTACACGTGTGTGTATGCATGTGTTTGCACTCACTTGTGTCTGCACATACACATGTGCATGCATGTGTGTGTGCCCCTGTGTGTATGTGTATTTGCATGTGCTTTGTGTGCATGTTGGCATTTGCTTGTGTGCACCTGCTTGTGTGTATGTGTGCGCACATGCATGTGTGCGTGAGTTTGTGTGAGTGCACATGTGCCTATGTGTGCGTGCACATGTGTGTATGAGGTGTGTGTGTGTGTTTGTGCATGTGTGCATCCCACGAGCATGCATACATGTGTGTTTGCCTTTGCGTGTGTGCATATGTGCTTGTATGTGTTTGTAAGTGCTTTTTGTGCATGCACACGTGTGCTCAATGTATGTGTTCCTCTGTGTGTATGTGTTGGGATGGAGAACAAGGGTCACACCTTCTCAGCAGCCTCTTCCACACCCCCAAATCCAAATCCCTGGTCCCACAACCCAACAGACTGGTATTTAGGATTCCATAGACCTAAAATTTTCCCAAAACCATTTGGAGACCAGCCTTGGGTTGCCAGTGTTTTCATTTGGGCAAGTGGGGACTTTTTAAAACCACCTCATATCATCACCATCACTTTAGAAAAGAAAAGCCATTTCAACACAAAATGTCCGCAGGGCAGTGCAGCCCTTCGAGCTGGGACGTGCGTAAGAGACACTCAGTGCAGCCTCGACTTCCTCACACCTCCTAGACCAGGGAGGGAGAGCTCTGCCCAGGCCAGCACAGGCTTCGGGCGTCCCCCAGTGCCGATGCTCCCGCACTCACTAGAAAAGCTCAGCAGCCCAGCACAAGCTCAGGCTCCAAAGTGCTCACGATGCCCTGGCTAGGCTGATGCCTAGCGGTCGAGAACATCTTTCTGTAAGGGCCTGGGGAGGACAGCGCCCCAGGATCGACATCACAGGAATCTCCCCCTCTACCCTCCCATCTCCACGGGTCCTCCCAGAAAACTGTGAGGGCACAGGATGGAGATCTTTAGCCCCATTTGACAGATGAGGAGACAGGCTCTTGACCAAGGTCACAGGACTTCTTAACACCTAAACCGAATCTGGAACCCAGACCTCACAAACATTCATTCATGCAACATTCAACAAGCAGTTCTTGAGCTCTTAGGACGCGTGAGAAACAAGGAAATGAGCGGTGAATGAAGCAGACACTGCCCCTTCCCCCAGGGATGACATTCTCACAGAGGGAATCAGATGCTGAGCCAGAAAATGATCCCAGAACCAGATAATTTCAGAAGAAGAAAAGGTGCTGATAAAAATATAGCAGGGGGCATGAGTGACTGAGAGTGACAATGCTGGTCAGGGAAGCCCCTTGGGACCTGAGCAATGAGGAGCCAGAAATATAAAACCCTGCAGGGAGGCAGGACAGATCAGGCACAGGGAGCAGCACGTGCAAAGGTCCTGAGGCAGCAGCTGCTGGACGAGCTCTGAGAGAAGCGCAGGAGACAGGGGAGGAGAGGCAGCTAGAGCCGACTCAGGCAGTAGCTCCCAGGCTACATGAAAGCTTTGAACCTGGTGGTAAGCGCCATGGACATGGGGCTGAATGATGTTAACCAGGACGGTGATGAGATGTGACTTACATTTTAAGGTCTTGGCAGCTGTTGATTGGAAACAGCAGCAGGATGGGAAGCCAGGGAGGAGGGCGTTGCAGAGATTAGACAAGCAATGGTGGGGCTTGGACAAGGGTGTTCGAGGTGGGTGGAGAAAAGCCGATATTGTCACAAACACCTGGGACCTGGTGATGAGAGGAACCCCAGCCAGCCAGTGCGGTTATTTTACATACAGGCAGAGGAGGCTGGGGGAGGGCCGAGACTCTACTGCAGTCACGCAGCAGATGGCTGCACATCCCTCCAACCCAGACCCGTAGGCACTAGAGCCGGAAGATTTTTACTACTGGTCCCTGGAGCGGTGTGGGTGGCAGCAGGGTGGGGCTCACCTCAGAGCACAGACAGAGGTGGATGGGTGGGTGGATGGGTGGATGGATGGAGGGGTGGGTAGATGTTTGGATGGGTGAATGTTTGCATGGACGGACGAGAGGGTGCATGGATGTTTGGACTGATGAATGAGTGGGTAAATAGAAAACGGACTGACAACTGGGCCTTTCTGCCTTTGAGCTGAGTGGACCTCAGAGTCAAGCTAGGAAGGGTGTCAGTGGAAGAGATAAGGGGGTACATGGAAGGGATACTCTGATGCCTTCTAGCCCATAGATATGCCACAGCAAGCCGTCCACCCGCGCTCACTCGCACAGCCTTTGGCAGAAGCGTGCGCAGCACCGCTGCAGCCTGCACCTGGCAACACGGGCTAGCAACCTGCACAGGCATCGCGGCCTGGTTTCCCCAGATGGGACGGCGTCTGCTGCCCCCTCCAGGAGCCTGCCGGGGCTGCAGCCACCGACAAAGGGCTCAGCAACCTTGCAGATGCTTAGGTCTGATCTCCCCAGCTCTGTCACGTATTTACTGTTCCACTCCCTCCCCTTCTCTTTCTCCCCCTCTGTCTGTCTCTCTGTCGCTGTCTGTCTGTCTCTCTCTCTCTCTGTCTCTGTCCCTCCCTCTTTCTCTGTCTCTCTCTTTTCTTTCTTTCTCCCTCTGTCTCTGTCCCTTCTCTTTCTCCCCCTCTGTCTGTCTCTCTGTCGCTGTCTGTCTGTCTCTCTCTCTCTCTCTCTCTGTCCCTCCCTCTTTCTCTGTCTCTCTCTTTTCTTTCTTTCTCCCTCTGTCTCTGTCTCTCTCTGTCCCTCTTTTCTCTCTCTGTCTCCCTCCATCTCTCTCTCTCTTTTCTCTTTCTCCCTCTGTCTCTGTCTCTCTCTGTCCCTCT